GATAGATTAAATCATTGGCCACAGGTTTATCAACTCAACCTTCAGCCCCTCTTCCCTGTGGGATGGGAGGGGAACACCAGACAACTGAAAATTCCAACCAATCACAAGGTTGTTTTCTCTGGCAACTAGTCACCATCCTAAAGCTATCTGGGGGCACCCCAGTCATCAGTCATCTCTAGCATACAAAAGACACTCATCACCCTGGAGATTCCAAGGATTTTAGGACCTCTATGTCAGGAAATATGGACAACACCACATTTCACAATACATATTTCACAATATCACAGATATTACCAAGAGACAGACAATAGCATCTGATCTCTTCACAAGATCTGTTCTAGGAACTGATCTGGTGCCACATCTCACCTCTCATTAGGAGGTATGGAATAGCACCTATATAATTGTACTCCCATGTTTTCTTGTCTTCAGCCTTTCTGTGTTTAATTCTTTGGGACTCAAACATTAGTTTTTATAGAAAGAGATCAATTCTAGATACTGCAGTAAAGTTGGTATAATAGGGATGAGAGAGATGGATTCAAAGAGATGTTCAACCCCTTAATTATAATGCTTTTAGTAAGTATTCAGTCTCTACCTTAATGCAGGTGAGTAGACTCCTGCAGCCTTCCCAAAGATCCTCTTGTCCTCAGCTCTTGGCTGGACTTGCTTCTTGCCTTGATTACTACAGTAGGTTTTGTTTTTGTTGTTGTTGTTTTAGTACTGGGGAATGAACCTGGGGCTCTTTAACACTGAGCTACATGCCAACACTATTTTTTATTTTGAGACAGGGTCTTGCTTGTTGAGGCTGGCAATCCTGCCTTAGCTCCTGAGTTGTTGGGATTATAGGCATGCACCACCATGCTCAGCTCTCCTGCAGTAGCTTCATAACTCTGTTTATTTCTAGTCTTATTCCTCCAATCTAGCCTTCACTTTAACAACATGGTAAAATCAAGTCTAGGCCAGGGAAGGACAAGACCAGAACACTAAAGAGATTGCCCAAAGCTTCAGGACAAAATCCAAAGTCCTTAGGAACAAATGCCTTCCTGATCTCTACCTAATCTCTCAAAGTCAAAAATCTGAACCCTTGGTGATTCGTCTGCTTGGAATGCTCTGCCTTTAACTACTTGCCCTTTACTTTGTAAGGGCTGGCTATCAAGATTAAAATCTTCCAGAACCCAAACCCCAAATAGGGTGCTGAAAATGCAACACAGGAGCAGAAACAAACCAGTCCTGATCTCATTGTACTCAGAGCCCAGAGGAACTCAACTGTGCAGAGCAGAGGCCAGTGACACTATAATCACAGTTATAAAAGCATGTAACTAGGAAACCTGATCTAGACCTGAGGTTCACAGAGGGTTTCCCAGAAGAGGCAACCTGAACTGAAACTCCAAGAAAGCTTAGATTTAACTAAGAGGAGGAGGGTGGGATATGGTAGGCCTTCCAGAATAATGTATATAAAAAGTATGAGAGAGAACTGATAAAATGGAGGAATAGGGCAGGTCCAGCATGGCCACAAAACAGTACAAGTTGCCAGAATCAGTCATACTGATTCTGCAGTATGACAGCAAAGATTTTGGTCATTATCTTAAAATACATGGGAAAGCCACCTGCCCTGGTCTTTAGGTAACTCCAATGGAAATGAAAGGATGGGAGCTAGGTGGTGAGCAAGTAGCAGCTTAGCAGCTGCTCTACCTATCCTATCTCCAACACCCAAAGCTACAAGTGAAGTGGTGTGCAGGGTTAGGAAGACTCACCCCTCAGCTCACAATTGTCCTCCCTCAAAGGGAGGTGAAGGAGCTGGAGGAAAACTCTGAAAGGAAAGCCTGAATCCTTTAGATTGTCTGGAAAGTCCGTATCTTTCCATTTCTCCCTCTCCTCTAGCTAACATTGCCAACTCAATTCAGGTGGGCTACAGGACAAAACCTGTATTCCACACTTGGCCTCACAGGAGGGGATGCAGCAACAAATGTGACTTACAAAGGGATGGGTACCAGAACAGAAGGCATCTGAGGTCTCAGATGAACAGAGAGGAAAGAGATCCAGACCTGGAGGGACCTGGGAGGACAAGGCCAAGATAGATAGGATTCCATGGGCCAGATGTGAGCCAAAGGAAAGCCAGCCACCTTGGGGACTTCCAGCTCCAGAAAGGGGACCTGAAGTCCTTGAGCTTACATGTTGAACTTGGAGAAAGAAGTTCATTTTGAACCCAGACTCTGAGTGGTACCTCAGTAACAACAATTCCAAGGGGCTCCCCAAATTTCAAGAAAAAGCAAGCAGAACTATTAATTGTATTATCCAGGTCCTTGGCCCCAACAAAGAATTAAGCAAGACACAGAAGTAACAGGCAAAGTGCAGATGTATTGAAGGTAAACATGGAAATAGCATTCTGCAAGTTACAACTGAGAGGGCAGAGTAAGAGAGAGGCTCAAGGCCCCTGTGTCTGGGAATTAGTGTTTTATATGCTGAGCTCTGGGGCACTTTCTTCCTTATGATCTGATTGAAAACCTTACCCCATTTGTTCCCATTGGTTACCATATGCTACCTGATTAGAATAGTATTCAATTTTCCCCCATTGGTTACTTCAAAAAAACTTAATTAGAACACTGTCCGTATTACCTCCACTGACTATTTTAGAATATCCAACCTGGACAGAATTTATCATGGGCCTTGAGTCCTCAGTGGTGGGAGCTGTCAAGGTAATGGGACTTATGGTAGGTAAACAGGGACTTGATGACTCATTTCCCTGTCTTGTCCTCTAGTGGCTATTTCTTATACCCTGCCTCTGCCATTTTGGCATCCCTGAACTCCTACCCAACAAAATGAGGGTTCTCAAAATTAAAAAAAAAAAAAAAAAAACTGGAATAATATAACTGCTCAAGGGGTGGAGGAACACAGTTCTTGAGGGCTGCTCATAAGCAGACAGGAAATCTCTTGGGAATAGCTCAGTCTACACAGGTTGGTGAGTGTGGTCCTTGACTTTTCTTTTTAGATTGAGTGCCCAGGGAGCCAGGGAAGTGTTAGTGTGATCTGGGTCCTGGGCAGCAAACTGGTTATGGGGTGGATGGAGACAAGGGCCTTCCACAACCACCAGAGAAAAAACACAGGGATTGAGGTAGCATTAAGTATGGAAAAGGGAAAAGACAGCTATTTGGGAATGTCAAGGAGGCAGGTGATGTCCAAGTCTGGGCCCAAAGAGCACAGTCATCAAAACTGTGCAGGAGCACTGCCAAGACTGCGCAATAGGAGAGCCCAAAAGAGACTGACAATAAAACAGGAAAGTTTGCAGCCAACAAGAAGAACAAGCAATCTTCCTGGAGGGATCCTGGCATACTCTGCAAGCCTGGGCAGCCAGGCTTGAAGCTTTGCCAGGGTCGTTGGCCTAACTTTTGCTTTCCTGCCCCTAGGCACTCCAGTATGTGTTTTCTATGTGGAGTGTCCCCTACCTCCATCTCATGCTCAGTCCTCTGATACACCAGTGCAGAATATTTGCACTGGAACATTATTCCCCCCATATACACACAGGGCTGTCTCACATCTGCATGTCTTAAATGCCAATCTTCCCCCTATAATCCTACCCTTGTTCCCTCCTCAGGAAACTGTGCAAAAGCAAAGAAAACCCATCCCCCCCACCCCACCACTTTTGTTCATAACTCTATCCACAAGCCTTAAAACAGCCCAGTACCCAAAAGGTGCTCCCTAAATTCTGAAACACTGCCAGGCATTTTTGGGGATGTAGGTACTAATATTATTTCCAATTTCATTTCACAGATGAGAAACCACTTTCCATCTTACAAAGAGAAAAGTAAATACTTATGTATAAATTCCACCCCTTTATTTTACATAGATATCAGTGGTTGCAAACTTAACGATATATGCCACTCTTTAAAAAAATATTTGGAGCCAGGCACTGTGGTGTGTTCCTGCAATCCCACCTGCTCCGGATGCTGAGGCAGAAGGATTGCGAATTCAAAGCCAGTCTCAGAAACTAAGCGAGGCCCTAAGCAACTGAACAAGACCCAATCTCAAAAAATAAAAAAGGGCTGGGGATGTGGCTCAGAGGTTAAGTGCCCAGGGTTCAATTCCCAGGACACTCCCCCGCGAGCACCCGCCCTCGCCCCCCCCCAAAAAATTGGGCGCAGCTGTCTGTTAAAGATACAGATGCGTGACAATGGGAGACTACATTTTTAAGAAAGCTTGCTTGAGTGTAAGGCCAACTGGCAGCTAGATACGTATTCCACCGCTTCCCTTCCAAGCACGGATGGACTCCCAACCCGCAGGCTTCTCTGTGGAGTGGCCAGACCCACAAAGGGCTTCGGATTAGTCCGGAAGTTAAACCCACCACTTGCTCTCCAGGCCTTTAGAATCTACAAGATCTCTCCGCATTCCGACCTAGGCCGGAACAGGGTGGCGGTCTAGTACCACATAGGCCAATTTTTAGTTCATACAGGGCTTTCTGCTCCGTAATCCTCTCCGGCCTTAATCCTGCATAGAATAGACGTGGAACGCCCCAGCTAACACCCTCAGCATAAAGCTCAGGGCATAAAGCTCTTGGGATAAGAGCCGCCACTCCCCCGCGCATGGAAATCTATTAAGCATGGTTTAAAACAAAAGTTTAAGTACCGTATTTTTCACTCTCCCTGTTTACAATGGCAAACTCAAACTCCCTCAGCTTTTCCTTCAACGGAACCAAGCGGAAGGGGCGGAGCTCGAGCTACGCCACGTAGGAGCTGAGAAGTAGCTAGGATAGCCTTATGGGAATAGCTGTACACTTCCCCTTTTTTGCTTGTATATAGCGTTCTAATCATAGTTTTAGAAGCTTTTTTAATAGATAATGATGTTGTCTGTTTCAGAACTATTGGTAGAGCGCTATTGCGTGGCGGAAGACACCACGATGAGTGATTGAACCTCGTTCTTCCTACTACTGGACGTCGCCATCTTGAGTAGAACTGAACCATAGGGGCCGCCATTTTGCTGGACCGGGCGGGTATTTCCGCTTCCGGCGGGGGAAAGCGCTCTCTTTTCCTTTGCAGGGCTGCGGCGCGGTGGCCGCGGTGCTTGTCTCTCTGAGCTATCCGGTGCCATCCTCGTCGCTGCGGCGACATCTCCACCCGCCGCTGCCATGACTGAACAGATGACCCTTCGTGGTACCCTCAAGGGCCACAACGGATGGGTAACCCAGATCGCTACTACTCCGCAGTTCCCGGACATGATACTATCCGCCTCTCGAGGTACATGCTAAGGTGTTGGGCGAGACTGGGTGATGGGGGTAGGGGTGTTGCGCTTGTCGTGGGACTGGGCGGGTGGCGAGCGAATTTGCAGGCCGAGCAAGCTCTGTCACCGACTGTGAGTTGGTGAGTACAAACCCGATCCTAGGCCTCAACCGAGACGAACAATTTTACAGATCAGCACGAGTCATAGTCCGTCATTGCCAGGAATGACTGAAGACTTTTTAAATCTTTGGCCCACTTCTCAGTTGTGGTCAAATATTCCCAGGGACCACCTGGCTGGGCGGAGCGGTGATGACACCAACATGCCATCTGAATGCCATGTGCTGAAAAACAGAGGCTGTTTCTGAGCTGCCGCCCGGCCCTGAGTTCAATGGGAATTGGGTAGACTCCAGAGGGGCCTTGTGACCCTCATCTCCCAGCCTGCACTTTCGGCCCTCTCTCACTCTTGTACCTAATAGAGCTTAGAAAGGTCTTGGGCTTTACCTTAGCTGCCACAGAATGAAAAATCGCCCAAGGGCTTGGTTCATGTCTGACACTTATTAATTTTCAGACTTGTTGAATGAGCCGCATTTCCATAAAAGCATCCAGTCCTGTAGCATATGAAGAGACTTATCAGCTTTGATTTCTGTATTTCTGTCAGCCCTCATAAGTAATCACAGGAAGTCCCCAGTTACTCATCCCACACCCAAGCTGCTGTCTTTCCACATTCAGAGAAGATGCAAAATAAATGTTTTATTATATGAATCTCAGGAAAAAGTATCCATAGTCTCTGACACATGAGTTAGGGTCTTGTGGCATGTCTAGCTTTAAAACTGCCTGTCTCTCTATCTGCAATAGTGGGTCATTCAGTGCAGGATAGTAACTGCTCTCATAGCCTACAGTTCCCCTGGCCACATAAATGTTCTCAACGTTATTCTCTTTAACCCACCCACAACCCTGAGACGCCTTGTTATACATTAGCAAGTGGGCTGAGTAGGGTCCTCATGGATTTTTCTTCTCCTGTTTTACCTCCTTTTAGATAAGACCATCATTATGTGGAAGCTGACCAGAGATGAGACCAACTATGGTATCCCACAGCGTGCTCTGCGGGGTCACTCCCACTTTGTTAGTGATGTGGTCATCTCCTCAGATGGCCAGTTTGCCCTCTCAGGCTCCTGGGATGGAACCCTGCGCCTCTGGGATCTGACAACGCAAGTAGCTACTCTGGGGCCTTGGGGGAAATATGGGCAGAAATGAATAGATGCCATCAGAGTATGGTTTCCTAAGGGAAAATGGTCCATCTGGGAAGGATGAGGCTAAAATACCTACAGAAGATAGTTGCAGTTGTTTGGCCTCCTTCCTTGATTTAATTGGGTTAGCTACTTGAAGTTGCTGAGAACTGATCTAATTGAAAAGTTTTGCTGGGTACATTAGTTTGGAGTTGGCAACCATTTAAATATGTTTGAAAGGTGGTTAGGCACTTGACAGGTATAATGGAGGATCCTGGTGATGACAGATGACATTGTCACCCAATCCCCACAAGGAAATGAGGACATGTCCTGCAATTCTGAGTGGATTCTCTAGCATATATGCAGTCAAGAACTTGCTGTAATCCAAGCCACATCTAGGTTATGTGAATAACATAACCACTGGGTCAGGAATAAGGCAAGTAAAAAGATTTGGCTATGGAAGGAAAAAAGTTTGCAAAGTCTGTCTAGAGAGTGACCAAGTTCTTCCTCCCAGGGGCACCACCACAAGACGATTTGTAGGCCATACTAAGGATGTGCTGAGTGTGGCCTTTTCTTCTGACAACCGGCAGATTGTCTCTGGATCCCGAGACAAAACCATAAAGTTATGGAATACTCTGGGTGTTTGCAAATACACTGTCCAGGTAAAGTGAGGGCAACATCAGAGAGCACGTGTTCAAGACTCCTACCCTTACTCTTAACCTTTCTTTCTGTGGTGATTTTAACTCCTGTCTGGAGTCTGTAAAGGTTCAGTTTCTGGGGATGTGAATGCAATGCTGCAAACATTGATCCTACTGATGAGGGGTGGTATATAACATTTCTTGGGACAGGACTGTTTTCTCTTATTTCTTTCCTTCCTCTGTAGGATGAGAGTCACTCGGAGTGGGTGTCTTGTGTCCGCTTCTCACCCAACAGCAGCAACCCTATTATTGTCTCCTGTGGCTGGGATAAGCTGGTCAAGGTGAGCTCCCAAACAGGGTACAGGACCTTTACAGGCCAAAATGTATGCTTTGCCTCCCACATAGTCATAGGCTTTAACTTTGAACATTTTTATAGATTATCTCAGTTGACTTTTTGCTCTTCTTGATATTTTTTTCAGTACAGAACATTAATTTTTGACATTCAATCTGAAGTAGCTAATTATCTCACAGCATTTGCCACCTGTTTTGGTCCCAGTTGATCTTAATTCACTTTGTCCCATAGTCCTAATAGATGGGGTTGTGTGGCTCAGTGGTAGAGTGCTTGCCTGGCACGTGTGAGGCACTGGGTTCAGTCCTCAGCATCACATTAAAAAATAATTATTAATAAATAATACTCATACGTAAGTAATGTATAAACTCAGATTATGGTTTCCAAACTATTTTAATGCACTTGTGTCACTTTGTGAAATATTTGCAGAATTGAAAATTTGGAACTTAATGAGTTAAGTGACTGAGACAAGTTTGTGTTGGTTTACATTTTCATTTTTATTACTGGTAGAATGATAAATGGCTGTTATGCCAAGGAATGCTTTTAAATAATGTCTCCTTACTCTGCCCAATCTTGAACTAGATTGTTCATCTATGAGCCCTTGTCTTTGTAGGTGTGGAATTTGGCTAATTGCAAGCTGAAGACGAACCACATTGGCCACACCGGCTATCTGAATACTGTGACTGTCTCTCCAGATGGATCCCTCTGTGCTTCTGGAGGCAAGGTATTTTGGGACTAGGCATCTTCTACTCGTTGAGGAAAGGTGTCTCAGAAAGAACACTTTGTCTTTGACATAAATTGACAGCTAAAAGCTTAGCTAGGTTTTTCAATATATGTTCCTGAGGATAATATTTTCCAGAACTATACTGTTTGTCTCCTCAAAGCAGTACATGAGATTAAGTTGTCAGAGGCTCTTGATACAGTTGGTGAGGTGTCATTCAATAAAGGAAAGATTTAAAGAAATAATGAGATTTTGCCAGGCACAGTGGTATACACCTTGTAATCCCAGCACTTCAGGAGGCTGAGGCAGGAGGATCTCAACTTCAAAGCCATCCTCAGCAACTTAGTGAGATCCTGTCTCAAAAGGACTGGGGATGTGGTTCAGTGGTTAAGCATACTCCTGGGTTAAGTCCCTGGTGACAATAATAGTAATAATGGTATTTGAGCTTTCAGGAAGTCAGGGTCCTAGGGGAATTGAGTCTGACAAAATCTTGAGATGAAAGGGGCTGACATCTGGAAGAGGTCACATTGCCCTAACTCATCTTTCCTGTCTGCCCAGGATGGCCAAGCCATGCTGTGGGATCTCAACGAAGGCAAGCACCTTTATACACTAGATGGTGGGGACATCATCAATGCCCTGTGCTTCAGTCCCAACCGTTACTGGCTCTGTGCTGCTACAGGCCCCAGCATTAAGATCTGGGTGAGTATGGGCTATATTACATACTGAGTTCTTGGATGCACTGTCTCCACCTCCTTGCTTCCTCCCCAGCAATGCTGTGATTTACTGTGTGCCATTTTCAGATCAGAATTTTCTGACAGCAGGAAGACATTTGTTGCCTACCAAAAGGGATGACCATGTGTACCAGCTTTCTCAGCTTCAGCATAATTGCTGTTGTAGTCAAGATATTGGGGGAGGGCTGTTCTGAGCATTTTATCATGTTATCCCTTGTATTTACTCACTAGATAGTATTAACAAAACAAAATCTCATGGATTTAAAAAAAAATGCAGTGGTGTAAGTGTTCTCTATACTCTGGTTTTGACGTGTTCCCCAGGACTTGGAGGGCAAGATCATTGTAGATGAATTGAAGCAAGAAGTTATCAGTACCAGCAGCAAGGCAGAGCCACCCCAGTGCACCTCTCTGGCCTGGTCCGCTGATGGCCAGGTAAGTGGGTCTGTCCTGGCTTTTGAAGAGGGAGCACATTCTGAGACTGTTTTTATTTCTGGGGGCGCTATTCCATGGAACATTCTATCCAAAAAAGGGTAACAGATGGGTGTGATCCAACCCCATCTGGGGACAGTCACTCCTGGAACAGTACCTTGGACATAAAGTCCAAATTGCATTGCAGTGGGTGCACTACCAGTTCAGTGCCTCGTTACTCAGGACTTAAAAGGTGTACATTAGCTTCTGTCCAGAGAGGCTTCTGACAGAAGTTGAACTTCAGCTTCTCCTGCTTCAGCCTCCCCAATTACTAGGATTATACACCTGACTGTTTTTTTGCTCTAGGTGTTATCAGCACCTGTACTATGGTAATTGAAAGAGGGATTTAATGTGGTACTGAGGATCAAACCCAGGGCCTTGCACATGCTAGACAAGCACTCTACCACACCACAGCCTTTCTTAAAGGAAAGGCTATCTTTGGGACTGTAGTTTATGGCTAGACCTTGACCTGTCTATTTTTTCCCCTTATAGACCCTGTTTGCTGGCTACACAGACAACCTTGTACGAGTATGGCAGGTGACCATTGGCACTCGCTAGAAATTTTATGAGCTTCACAAATAAAAAGAAAAAAAAACTGGCTTTCTACAACTGACTTCAGTTCTTTTAGGAAGTATTTTTCTCTAATAAAGTGAAAAGAGCTACTTACAGGTTAAAATAGATTTAGTTAATAGTAATGTAAAACTGGAAGCACAATCATGAAACTTTTGAACCAAGTAAACATAACTATGGGAAAGAGGTATGTCAGCTTTTAGTTCCCTCGAGTATTGGGTTGGCATTAGATGTAACATATGGGATAGTACATAGGGTAGCTTCCCAAATATTCCCCCAATAAGGCTTCACCTTAGGCCTAGAGAAACTTTGTGAGTTGAAAGGAACAGATTACTTCAAAACGGTTGCAGTTGATTTAGGAATACCAAGTTTCCTTATGCTTTCTCTCATTTCCTCCAAAGATATATTCAAGAAACTTTGAAATCTCAGATTATTGTATCTCCATTAATTTGGGTCCTTGGTTAAATTGGAGGAATGGGTTGTGCTGGGGATTGAACTCAGAGGCACTCAACCACTGAGCCACATTCCCCAACTCTATTTTTGTATTTATTTTATTTAGAGACATACACGTTTTCTTAGTGCCTCACTGTTGCTTAGGCTGGCTTTGAACCCACGATCCTCCTATTACAGCCTCCCCAGCCACTGGGATTATAGGCATATGCCACTGTGCCTACAATTTTTTTTTTTAAACTAGGCAGCATCAGAAAGTCTTTAAACCCAGAGACATTATACCACTGAGCTGCATCCCCAGTTTTTTAAGACAGGATCTTGAAATTGCGTACACTGGCCTTGAATAAGTAGTGGGGTAATATATGTATATAATATTTTTTAGTTGTGGGTAGATACAATACCTGTATATTTATATGGTGCTGAGGATCAAACCCCGTGCCTCGTGCCTGCTAGGCAAGTGCTCTACCACTGAGCCACAACCCCAGTCTTGGATTAGGGTACCTCTAACCTCAAACTTAACTTAGTTTCCACAAAAATAGTCACTTGAATTTTGTGGAGATTCCCAGGGGAAGCTTTATTCTTCTATGGACCCTCAGTATGGTAGTACAAGGCAACGAATGATCTTTACGTATATATTTTGAATGCTGTGCCATTAAATGGGGGTGTTAGAATGGGAAATTTTTATCCCAATCTTTGCTGGAACAGGAAAGAAGCACTTAGCCAGTTTTACAACTTCTAAGAAATTACTTCTGATTTGCACCCTCATATCTACTCAAGAGATGGACTCCACAAAAGAAGCAAATAAACATTTTTATTTCTGCAACACAATCCACCTTCCCATTCCCCCCCAAGAACATGAATTGTCCTCAGCCATCAAAGCAGAGGACAAAAGCTGACAAGTGACAGAAGGCAAGGGGTTACTAGAAAAATAGATTATACCCAAGGCTCTCCTTCCCAGGGATCCAAACCCCTGTCCCTGTCCCCAGGCTCCCCATCAGACTTTGCCAAGTGGAAGGAAATAAAAAGTCATGGGGAAAGGCTGGAAACTGAGGAAAGCAACTCCGTTGGACAAAGGGTTAAAGAAGCCTGGCAGTGAAAAGACACAGGGGTGGGGTGGGGCGAGCTTTGCTCCTAGATTCAGTGTTGGAAAAAGGGGAGAAAATAATTTATTGAGTGATGTAATGGTATGTAGTTTCAATCATGTTGACCATCCCAGATCTCTCACTGAAGCTAAATTCTGGCCGGTCTATGGAGGTAGAAATTGGGGATGGAAGGAAAGTTTTAGAATTCCTCCTATTTCCCCAGGAGAGTAGACATTTCTTTACCCAGCTCTACCCTTTTGCCCAGCCTGCCTTCCCAAAACAACTTCCAAATCCTTAGCTAAAAATTGCACCATAAGATGGAATTGGAATGGGGATGTTATGAGTCTTGCCCAAACCCTCCAGCCTCAGAACTGACAAGGTTTAAGAGTAGGGGTGGGGAAAAAGGTTAAGGGATGAAATTACAATCTCTTCTCATCCCCTACTCAAAAGTTAGACCCCAGGGCTGGGCTGAACTGGGCTAGGCAGACAGGAAGGGAAGACCAGGCAGGCAGGCAGCTGTTCTCATTATCAGGGACCCATGCAGACCTGTTGGACAGACAGTAGGTGAGAGTAGGCCGAGCTGGAGGCCAGGAAGGTTCTTTAGGCTCCTAGAGGGAGAAGCAGGGGCCTGGGGTCAAGGGGGAGCAGGAAGCAACGCAGTAACAAACATGGGAGGAGCCTTTCAGCCCCCAAACTTACGGGCCATCATCCACCACCACCCGCCCCCCTAGTGCGGACCAGAGGGGCCCCTGCGGGTGGTAGGCTGATCAAGGGCAAAGCTTGATGCGGGTACCCTTGGATAGCACCCGAAAGAAAGGGAAGACACGCTCGCCCAGGAAGGCAGCTGAGAATGTATGCACGTGGGCTAGAGTCTCCGCATTGTAGAAGCCCAAGCGCCCAGCCTCATAGTCCAGGTATACGCCAAAGCGCCGTGGTTTCTCACTTGGACTCAGCAGTGTCTGCTCTGTTGAGCTCTGTGCCTGGTACCGTTTGCCATTGGTACCCACACACCACACTTCCCGCTGAAGCAGGGGCTGCTGGGGCAGATGGAGTCGGCGGCGGCGATGGTGATGGCGTGAGGAGCTGGCATCCCCGCTGCCCACCGAGGACCCCCCGGAGCCCACCTTTTCTTTATGATGGGTTGATTCACGGGCAGCGCCCACCGCCCAGCCCCGCCGCCCGCCCACCTCTACCTCCCAGTAGTGCCGGCCAGAGCGGAAGCCCTGGGCCCCCAGTACGCAGCAGTCAGCCGAGAAGCGCTTGGGATGGTCAGCAACCTCTTGCCGCCGTTCTGCCAGGCGGACCCCCCGGCGGTCAGGGGACAGCATCAGGGCTGGGTGAGCCGTGTCAGGATCCAGCGTCAGGTCCACTTGGGAGGGAGGACAAATACGCCAGGGCTGGAACACTATTCCCCATCAGAAGCCAACTCCAAAGGTTCAGTCTTTCCTGCTGTACCTTCCTTGTCCCCAACTCCCATCGACCCCATCTAGCTCTCCTCAGCTCCTCCCCATACCAGTTTACAGGACAGGCTCAGGTTCCTATGAGTTCCACCCCTTTCTCCAATCTTATTCCCAGGACACCTGATAGCCATTCCCCAGTCCCCTGACTGTTCTTGCCACCTCATCCATCCTGTCCCTACCCCCACCCCCACAACCTACCTGAGCTATGACAGAAGCTATTTACTAGGCTTGAATTTTCAGTGTGGTCTACCTATAACCTGAGCCACCTTAGCCCCCTGCACTACCCCCATGGCCCAACTTCCCTCAGAACCCAATCTCAGGTCTTTGAAGGGAAAGGCAAAGGAAGGTCATACAGGTGACCTCCCTACCTCTCGCAGCCTGACAGAACATCCGGCTCATTTTCCTCACGATGGCATCTGTCAGGAAGTCATGGCTATGGGGTTGGCACGGGTCAGGGGACCAGATCTCTGGGGGCTGCAGCTGTACCTCTTCACACCTGGAGGAAGGGGACCGGGCAGGGGGTGGGACCATGATATTCCCGGAGGGAAGAGTAGAAGCTGAGGGGAAGGAGAGGAGGGTCCAGGAGGCAGAAACTCAGGTCCTGGGGAAGGAAGGAGAGGAGAGGGATACCCAAGAGAGGCAGGGATGGGGAACCAGATATCACTGGGTCACAAAGGGTAAAATGGGAACACACCTATTGAAAGTCTCCTTGATGTCCTGGGAATAACAGAAACAAAAAGAGGGAGAGGGAGAAAGAGACAAAGAGAATGTCAGCTGCACAGAGACCATTGCTTTCTCCCAATCTCCAGCCAGAGAAAGGTCTGCACTTGAATAGGAAGGGAGAAGCAGGACCTCAAGGCCCTTAATAAACATGCATGTGTCATCATACATCCCTATGTCTGACTATATCTAACATCTCATCCAGCTGAAAGCCCAGTAACAGAATTTCATAATATGATTTGGTCACCTTTTTAAAAAATTCATTCCTCAACTCTCACTCATCCTCCTTCTAGATCTAATTCTTCCTTCTTTTCATTGGGTAGAACTGTTACACACACCACATTCAACATTGTCTCCAGCCTCAAAAACCATTTTTGGTGTTCAGGTTAAAAACTGTTGTGAGTTCTTCCGGAGAGAAGAGGTAGCTCTGGGCAGACGTAATGGTGAACACAGCCTAACAGGGCAAATAGGGAGCTGGGGAGGTGACAAGCAGGGCAGAAAGGAGCACAGTGCTCACCTGTAGTAGTCGCAGGCCCCCCTGCTGACTCCGCTCCTGGGCCTCAGCCAGCAGGCGGCTCAGCTGGGCAGCCTGTTCTGCAAGGCGGCTGGCCACTGTTCCTGCACGTTCCAACTGAGCTTCATGCATCTCTCGGAGGCGCCGCTCCAGCCCTGCCTGCTCTTCAGCCAGAAACCGTGTGAGCCGCCCAAACTCTGAAGCCACAGCAGCCAGCTCTGCCTTCATCTGGCTCTGGAATGATGGAAAGGGGATGGGTGATATCACTGAATGTATAGGAAGGTAAATCTCCTGTTTTCCAACTGCTGTCTCTCAATCCAAGGCAAAGAAGCCCTACATTCCTCAAATCCAAGAAGAATCACAGTTCCTTCTCCTTCCTACAGATACTTCCCTGGCAACTGGTCCCAATGGTACTGCCTGGAAGGCTTCTCTCTACCTTGTCTACCTAACTTGACTTGCCCTTCAGTCTTAAGCTTACATATTCTGAGAAGCTTTTTCCTCCCTTCCAAATCTAATCAGCACCATCTCCATAAATATCACTGTTATCTTTCCATGGCATATACAGTATTGGAAATGCTGTTTAAGATAAAGTCAAGTATCCTTTAAAATTATTTTCCCCAGAGGCACCGTAAGCTCCCACCAGCAGGGATTATGTCCAATTCCTGTCTGTCTGCTATAGTGTCATGAGACTGTATGAACTAAAGAGTAGGTACCTGGTAAGAATTTTTTTGACATCAGTAAGTAAGATAATTCAGGAATCAAGACATCAACTTAGGGTCCTCACTATGTTGCTATTCAGTGACCTTAGAA